TACACTTAAAGAAAAACAAAGCTTAAAATTCTGTTACAGGATATAAAATATTTTTGGGCAAGCTCTTTTGGAGCTTCTGCAGAAAGAGAAAGAATGATGGTAGTTATCTCAAATCCCCCAATATTTTGTTTGTGATTATAGGTTGAGATTTTTGTTGGAATATCTAAGAATTTCATTGCTTCTTTAGATGAATCTAAAATCTTTAATGAAAAGCATAAACTATGGTCATCATTAAGCTCCTACACTAGTCATGCTTTTATCATTTATTTTTTTAAAAAGATTTATTTTAGAGAGAGAGAGAGAGCGAGCGTGGGGGGAGGGGGAGAGAGAGAGAATCTTTTTCCTTTAAAGATTTTATTTATTTGAGAGACAGAGAGTGAGAGAAAGAGAGAGAGAGAGAACACGATCAGGGTGAGGGGCAGAGGGAGAAGCAGATGGGGAGCCCGATGCGGGGCTCGATCCTAGGACCCTGGGATCATGACCTGAGCCAAAGGCAGACAATTAACCAACTAAGCCACCCAGGTGCCCCAAGAGAGAATCTTAAGCAGACTCCCCACTAAGTACGGAGCTGGATCTCACATCCCATGAGATCATGATCTGAGCCAAAATCATGAGTCCAACTTGAGTCACCCCAGTGCCTCTTTATTATTTATTTCTTATAATTATCTTAAACATGTTAACCGTTCTTGACAAACATAAAGAAACCAAGAATGACATTTATATGGGTAATACAACGAGACTGCACAAGAGCCCTTATCCCTTCATGTTAAATTGTAGAAAAACACAATTATGGGTAAATAAGGGACCAGAGCATGTTACTAGTTTAGGCAATGTTTCTTGCTAGACTCTATTGGCATTTTAGGTGGGACAGTCCAACCAATTGCAGGATATACAACAACCTTGGTCCTAGCCATGAAATTTCAGTAGCATTTTTAGTCATAGCAACAGAATAAAAATTGCCCCCATGCACTCCCAAACTCCCCTTGGTAAGGCAACCACTCTCCTAGTTGAGATGCACTGCTTGAGACTTTTGTTAAAATCTGATCAGTTAAAAAGCACCTGTTTGGGGCACCTGGCTGGCTCAATTGGTGGAGTATGTGATTCTTGATCTTGAGGTTGTGAGTTTGAGCTCCACACTGGGTATAGAGATGAGTTAAAAATAAAATCTTAGAGGGGCGCCTGGGTGGCTCAGTCGTTGGGCGTCTGCCTTCAGCTCAGGTCATGATCCCGGGGTCCTGGGATCGAGCCCCGCATCGGGCTCCCTGCTTGGCGGGAAGCCTGCTTCTCCCTCTCCCACTCCCCCTGCTTGTGTTCCCTCTCTCGCTGTGTCTGTCTCTGTCAAATAAATAAATAAAATCTTTAAAAAAAAATAAAATAAAATCTTAGAAAAAATGCCTCCATGTTTATAAATATTCTATATTCTGTATTTTGTAGTTTCTCTCATCAGCTAAAAGAAAGATTATAACATCAACCTAAAAAAAAAAGAGTCCCTATAATCCAAATGACTTTGCTTTATAGTTTGTTTGTCATTAAAGCTAATACCACCTTAATGGACATCTCACATTTCTGAATTTGTATTTTTCTTCTTCCAAGAAGGGTTGTATATTGCTCTATTTCCACCTTCTCACATTTAAATTTAGATCTGAATAAATTGTATTGCTTTTCTTTGTGTTGATCAAATGGGCACATTTTGAATTATTTGGAATGGATGTAGGTTTTTTCTTAATGAAAGAACATGTTTCTTTTTTTAAGACTGTATTTATTTATTTGAGAGAGAGAGTGTGTGCATTAGCTGGGGGGAGGGGCAGAGGGAGAGAGAGAAAGTGGGGAAGCAGACTCCCCACTGAGGGTGAAGCCTGATGCTGGGCTGAATCCCAGGACCTGAGATCATGACCTGAGCCAAAACCAAGAGTCAGATACTTAACCAATTGAGCCACCCAGGCACCCCAAGAACATGTTTCTTAATTAAAACATAGGAGAATATAGGTTCAGATGCCATACATAGGTGTATTAGGATAATAATTGTAATAAATGGATATCATCTTTGTGATGGCTGATGTCATTTACCCAATTATAATCAGATTTCTCTACAATAGAACAGTAAAATTACTTCTCAGCATTAACATCTACTGACTGTATGTTTGAGTACTCAGGTGAAGCACTAACTATATAGTCAGTGACAGTCATAAGGACTGAGATGTATGATGATATTAGTAATTATTTTTTAGTAGATCTCTTTTTGGATGCAAAAATTATCACTAGTATGCTTATGTATTTTTATAAGTGTATGCATGTGTATATATATCACAAGCAAATCTCTGTTGTTAGACTAAACTTTAATTAGTACTCTAGAGCAATGGTCGGCAAACTGTGACCCACAGGCCAAACCCAGTCTGCCACCCGTTTTTGTGAACAAGGTTTTACTAGAACACAGATATGCTAATTTGTTTACATTCATCTATGGCTGCTTTTGTGCTGCAATAGCTCAGCTGAATAGTGGTGATGGAAACCATATCACCTGAAAAGTCTAAAATATGTATTATCTTTTTACAGAAAAAGTTGCTGACCCCTGCCATAGATTAAAAGTTAAAAGTCAGCAGAAAATATGCACAAATAATTTTTCTTTTTTAAAAAGATTTTATTTATTTATTTGACAGAGAGAGACACAGCGAGAGAGGGAACACAAGCAGGGGGGAGTGGGAGAGGGAGAAGCAGGCCTCCCGCCTAGCCGGGAGCCCGATGTGGGGCTCAATCCCAGGACCCTGGGATCACGACCTGAGCCCAAGGCAGAGGCTCAACGACTGAGCCACCCAGGCGTCCTTTTCTTTCTTTCTTTTTTTTTTTTTTTAAGATTTTATTTATTTATTTGCCAGAGAGAGAGAGTGTACAAGTAGGGGGAGCGGCAGGCAGAGGGAGAAGCAGGCTCCCCACAGAGCAAGGAGCCTGATACGGGACTCAATTCCAGGACCCTGGGATCATGACCTGAGCCAAAGGCAGACGCTTAACCGACTGAGCCACCCAGGCACCCAGTTTTTCTTTTTCTACGACTAGAATGGGTTCATGAAAGGAGATCAAGGAGATGGTACTTTCTAGGATCAATATCTATTCCTTGTAAAAGGTGTGCATTTAGGACTAGAAAGCTTGACACTGTGTCATGTCAGAGGTGAAAAAACCTGGTAGAGTTATTTTGGTGAGATTTAAGAAATGTCTTTTCTAGAGAATTTTGAGGTGGATCTAATTTTTGGGATACAGATAATGACATTTTTTCAACATAGTTGGGAATAATGTCTTACTCCATGAGTTGAATGTGTTCATTAATATGTATAATAATTTCTTTTTTTAAGAAGATTTTATTTATTTGGGGGGGGGGAGAGAGAGAGAACGTGCGCACAAGCATGTGCTCATGTGGGAGGAGGGGCAGAGGAAGAGGGAGAAGCAGACTCCCCACTGAGCAGGGAGCCTGACATGGGGCTCAATCCCAGAACCCTAGGATCATGACCTGAGCCAAAGGCAGATGCTTCACTGAGCCCCCCAGGCGCCCCAATATGTGTAATAATTTCACAACTATCATCTAACATATGAAAGTATCATAAGAGGCTGTCTATTGGATTGTAGTAGGACATTTTATAAGTCTATCATTAACTTTTATTTTTTTGCTGACTGTAGATCTCATACTCATAAAGCTCTGAGTAAAATATATGGTCAGTTCAGTCTGATTGCCTTGCAACTTTTGGCCAGTTTTTCAGAGACTATTTTGAAATGTACTTTTTAAATTGATTTTGGACTCCATCAACAATGAAATTGTTGTCCAATCTGAGAGATTTTACAAGGTTTCTATGTTATTTGGCTTAAGTGGGTGTCTGTCACTATGATGGACAAGGATATAAGGAATGCAGTATTTTTACTTTGAATCAGGATAGAGTAACTGCATTAGACTTGCCTTTCTGCCACAGAAGAGTATAAAACTAGACAAACTACTTAGAGCAACTATTTTCAGGCATCAATAAATAAACAGCACATGATTGTCATACTTGAGAACAAAACACACATGGTAAACTCCATAATTAGGGAGGTGAAACTCAAGTAAAGTAGTGGCCTTTCTGAGATGAAGATAGTGTTATCAGAGGTCAAAGTTACTGAAGTGGCTGGAATTTTGCAGGTTAGAATACCTGAGCTGTAGTGTGTGTGTGTGTGTGTGTGTGTGTGTGTGCGTGTGTGCATGCATGTGCACGTGTTGGGGTGGAGGGACACAAATGTGCCAGGCAAGTTTGCCTGCTGCAGGAGGAAGGCTGAAGAGTGATACTAAAAATCATGCAGTGCTAAGAGACATTGGATTTCCAGCCCAGCCCAAGAGCAGCAACTTCACTAATACTTTGGGCACTTAATTGAGAATCCAGAATCAAGCCCTAAGAGAAAGAACCATGCAAAAAAGTAAGAGGCACATGCTAGGGCCGAGTATAAAACCAAAATGGACACATGCTGCTAATAATAGTCCCAAGGCTAACCTAACAAAAGGACCCACCAGTAATTAATTTGCATAATGCACAGATGTAATACCCTTTAAAGGAAGACAACATAATCCAGACTCCCTATAATGTATTACCTACAATTAGCTAACATACAATTATTTATTATCAAATGTACAAAGAGATAGGAAAATGTGAACCAGAAGAGAGAAGTAGTCTATAAAAAAATTTCTGTGAGATTACCCAGATTTGGGGATTAGGAAAAAAAAATTAAGTAACATTCATTATTATTTTCAAGGACTTAAAGGAAGACATAGTCATAATGAATGAACAGATAAGGAATGTCAGTTTAGGGGAGGATCTCTGTGATCACTAAGAGCTGGGTGTGTGGGCAGGAAGTCTTCACTGTATGGTGGCCCAGTGCGGGGACCCGGGAGGCTCGGTGTAACTCTGCACAGGAGTTCTGCACGCTCGGCCAGGGCTCCTTATGCTCATTGCCCCGCCTGCTGCCCAGAGACAGGACTGAGGCCTGGTCAACTGTCTCCTCGCCGGAGCCATGAACCAGTCCCGTGCTGGCGCCCGCCTGAGCATCGTGCTGGGACACCTTGGCCAGTGTTTGGCCAGGGCTGGTGTAACTCACCCCACTTCAGGGGCTGTTTCTCCTAACAGTTTCCATCCTCCACAATTCCAGTATACTCGGGATAATAACGTTCTAAGCCTAGAACAGAAACAATTTTATGAAGAAAATGGGTTTCTTGTCATTAAAAATTTGGTATCTGATGCTGATATTAAACGCTTTAGGAGCAAGTTTGAAAGGCTCTGCCAAGGGGAGGTGAAACCAGAGCAAATAATGATAATGAGAGATGTGTCCATTGCAAAATCAGAATATATGCCAAGTGAAAAGACAGTTTCAAAGGTCCAAGATTTTCAAGAAGACAAGGAACTCTTCAGATACTGCACTCTCCCTGAGATTCTGAAATATGTGGAGGGCTTCACTGGACCCAATATTATGGCCATGCATACAATGCTGATAAACAAACCTCCAGATTGTGGTAAAGGGCTCTTATTTGTTATGGAGAAGCCAAAAAAAAAAAAAAAAGAGAGAGAGAGAAAAAGAAAAAAAAATTTAGGGTGTTCTAACTATACCTGTGTGTATAACTGTTAAACTTTGATAAATAAATATATATGTCTTTTAAAAAAAAAAAGGAATGTCAGTGTGTAAGTGAAACTTTTAAAGGAAAAGTTATCTGCCCCTCCCCTCTCTCACACAGGCACTCCTGCTCTCTCTCTCTCAAGTAAATAAATATATCTTTTTAAAAAATATTCATTCTTAACTTTTTTTTATCTACAGTACCTCAAGTTGTCTGAGAATGTTAAAGTAAGTAAAAGATTTCTTCTCCACTTTTGTGAGAGAATAGATTTGTAGTTTTACAAAATCAGTTCTGGGTTGGTTTGAGTGAAATTATACCTTGTGAAATTCAAGAAAGGAAACCTTTTGTAGATGGAGCTGGGAGGCCAGAAAGGGGAGCTCGCAGGCCCCATTGCAACCCTCTGCAGACCGAAAAGGAAGAGATGATCTTGCATTCCCAACAGGAAGAAACCTACTTCACTATCCCAGTAGGAAAAAGGAGGATTTTCTCCTTGCCCAGTAAAGGCCCAGCCAATGAAAAACTGTCACAACTCAGCCAATGAAAAGCCATTACACTTCAAAGCCCCAGTTTACTCCAATGGACTTCTTGTTTATAACAGCTCCTCCCAACTCTCCCCTTTCCTATATAGAAGAGTGGTACTCTCCTTGGTCTCTGGACTTGTCTATGGCTTTTGCTATAGCTCTTTTGTTCCAAATTGCAATTCCTGAATAAACACAATTTGCTGGAAAAATAATAAGCTCTTTTACTTTCAAGGTCAACAACCTCATGGCAAAGGAAGAAATGTAGACAGATCAAGTCTCTAGAATAGAATACAGCCATGTTACTTCATTTGTGTGCCTTGCTGGACCACATCATCATTTAAATCAGCCTTGCTGTAGAGCACAGGCTTGAGTGAGGCAAATGGGGTACAACACAAGAACAGCCATAGGAACTTTTCTTTTTTTCTTTCCTTTTTTTTTTTTTAAGTAATCTGTATGCCCAAGGTGGAGCTCAAACTCACCACCCTGAGATCAAGAGTTGAATGCTCTACTAGCTGAGCCAGCCAAGCACTCCCAGACCTTTCTTGCAAGCTCATAGCTACTGCATGGTGTTCATGAGGAAAACGCAGAATCAAGTACTTCTGGCATTTTAAGGAATTCCTGTAGAAATTCTTACTACATCCTTTAATCAATTCTATAATACTCTGATTCTGTTCAAATGGTTCACTTTCAGTGTAGGGAAAACCCAAAGATTCCTGTGGGAGCCTCTGCCATTATTTGTGCAGCCTTAGGTATGAACAAAATCTTTGTAATGACTATAAAGCCACCTCATTTTAACTTTTACTCCTTAGTCCTAGTTTTGTTCTCTGATGCAATGGAAAAATGGTCTGACCCTTCAGACCAAACCTCCAAAATGTGGAGATACACATTGTCTTCCCATGAGCCTCTGCTTCTTCAGAGTCATCTTCTCCAGAACTCCTCAACTTTCCCTCATTTTTTTTTTTTTTAGATTTTATTTATTTATTTATTTGACAGAGAGAGACACAGCGAGAGAGGCAACACAAGCAGGGGGTGCCGAAGGCAGGTGCTTAACGATTGAGTCATCCAGGCACTCTCCTCATTTCGCAATCATCTTACTTTTCACCCCTCTTTCATGTAAGTTCATCAATGTTCCTCATGAAAAGTGACCCCAGATGTGTCCAAGCAAAAATTTTAAGGTTTTGGTACGGTGAATTACTAGGGTAAAGTGACATTCTGCTTTTTGGACTGCTCACCTCATCCAGCCACCATCCCCTCGTCCCAGCCACCAGTTGCATTTGAAGTCTCTCATTTTCCAATGGGACAGACTAAGGCGTAAAACTAGGATTAACCCACAGGGAGGGCAGCCACCCGTCGCCACTTCCGGGGTCGAGCGGAGGATGGCGACGCCTCCGCTGCGGAAGGAGGAGTTAGGGGCGGAGCCGCGTTTGCGTGCCGCCTGAACGGGCAGGCGGACTTTGCGCATGCTCGCACGACGGCGTCTCCAACTCCGCTTCAGGTGGCGCTTCGCTCGTGCTGTTCCCCAGTGGGGAGGCTGCGTTTAGAGTTGCCGAAAGATTGGGCGTTGGGCAGGTAAGTGCCGCTTCTCCTGTTCATCAGTCATTGCCAGCGTTCCAAAGTAGAACCTGAAGGGCTGTGCTAGGATTCACCCATGTTCTGCTGATATTTTCTCCTGATGTTCTGAAACCTTTATTTCTGGGAAAGAGGCGGAAGGGGTGTGAAGCTATGGTGGTTACCGTGGCAACTGCATAGCACCGACTTAGTTTTTGAGAATTTGGGAAGGGAGAGCTTCTTCTGTAAGGGCTCTTTAAAATGTGCGTCGGATGCAGATTTAGGTGTTAACTTCAAACCCATGCTCCTAAACCACAGCATTTGATTTTAAAAGGTGTATTCTGGCTATAACGTGGAATAGCAGAATTTAAGGCGGGTTAACTAGTTGGAAAGCTGATTCAGTGATGGAGACACAGTTTGAAGATGTCCTGAACTAGGGTAGTAGTGGTGTAGGACTGCGGAGAAGAGGGAAAATTGGAGAAATTCCAGCAGGTAGTATCAGCAGGACCTAATAATTGACTGGATATGAGGGAAGAGGGACAAGGGCCCTGAGCATCTTGAGGATTAAGTCCACACTTAGCTGGGTATATGGCTCTCTTTCTAGATTCTTTTCCCGTCATCAGTCTGTCTTCTGACCCCCTACTCCACGCAGACCCAAGACTCTGTTCATGCCAAGTAGTTTGATGTTCTAGTTTCTAGCATATTGTCTTCACCTTTCTTGCGACGTTGGGTCAGATTATATAATTTAATTAAGTCCCTCAGTTTTTTCAACATGAAAATGGAAGAAAATAATAGTACTTTCCTCAGGATTTTTATAAGGATTAAATGAGATAATTTATATGCTTGGTGTATAGAAAGGGACAATATATATTTACCACTGCTCCTATTATTGTGCTTGTATTGCTTTATTATTATGAGTCATTTTGCTGTTTCTTCCTCTAGACTTGAGTTGTGTTTTTTTTTTTAATTAAGGAGCATTACCTTATCTATCTTTGTATGTTCTTGTAACATAGGAGTAAAGATTAAAAAATTTTTTTGAATGGATCATTTATTTTGGCTTCTGCTGACATAATTTTATTTCTTACTTTAAAGGAGCTACCTGATAGAATTGATTTTTATTGATCGGACGTTATTTACTAGATAAAAAGATGGCAGTTTTTCTGTATAACTAAGAAGACTGTGAGATAAGATGTGCAGAAAGTAACCGATACTCTCAGTTTGGAACAGGTATGAGTGATTTCAGTGAAGAATTGATAAGGCCCAAGACAGAGGATGACCAGGAGGAATCATGTTTATTCTCTGGTACAGGAATGTCTTTTCCTTGGCTCCAAAAGCATATAGGGACTGTGGGTAAGTAAAATAATGTACAGCCATTTTAACTTTAATGCAAGGAGATGATAAGGTTCAATATGGGTACAGAGTGAATAACCAGGCTGATTTATTCAGTTTTCAGAATGGGACTGTATGAGGGTTTTTGAAGCTGTAAGCAAAAAAATCATAAAAAGAATAGATCTTTTTTGCTATTTTTCGTTTGAACTAATAACAGTCTGTATTGTGGTAGATACACTTCTTTTTTCCTCTAGCAATACTTACTAGGCACTTATATGCCTAGCATTGGCTAAATATTGGGGATACATAGGTGAAGAAAATATGGCCATTGAGGAGTACATATGTAGGAAGTGTTTTTAAGAAGTTTCTGTTGAGGGCGCCTGGGGGGCGCAGTCAGTTAAGCGTCTGCCTTCGGCTCAGGTCATGATCCCAGGGTCCTGGTATTGAGTCCCTCATAGGGCTCCTTGCTCCGCGGGAAGCCTGCTTCTCCCCCTGCTTGCCACTCCCCCTGTTTGTGCTCTCTCTTGCTCTCTCTCTGACAAATAAATAAATAAAATCTTAAAAAACAAAAGTTATTTATATTGAATTGCATTGAAATTATTCCTTTTTTTTTTTTTAAAGGTTTTATTTATTTATCTGACAGAGGGAGAGAGAGAGCACAAGTAGGCAGACAGGCAGGCAGAGGGAGAGGGAGAAGCAGGCTCCCCGCCTAGCAGGGAGCCCGATGCGGGGCTCAATCCCAGGACGCTGGGATCATGACCTGAGCAGAAGGCAGACGCTTAACCGACTGAGCCACCCAGGCGCCCCACATTGAAATTATTACTAACAGAATTGATCTGTAATAAGATTTCAAAAAAAAGAGTATTTTCCCCATATACATATAAATATAAGCAAGTAAATATAAACAAGAATTTCTGTGGGATATATTTCCTGTAAGAATATATAAAAGAAGTGGTTATCTGTAAATGGGCATGTTGGATGGTGTAGTTCTGGGAATATATTAGAACTGACGCTTATTGCCTTCAAATCCATCTCTCTTAACCTAGCCATCTTTCCCCTTGACTGAGATTCTTTAGCTCCTAGAACTTGCTCCTATTTCTTTATCTTTTAGTTTAAATATTATCTCATTTAATCATCTCAGGAAATTAATCCTCAAATCCATGTGCTGGGCGTTTTAGAGATGAGGGAAATGAATTTCAAAGAAATTAAACTCTAAGGGTTGGTATCAGGAGTTAAACCCAGGTCTGTCGGATCTCAGAGCTTATACTTCCAATACCTGAAATATATTTTTAAAAATGAGATAATATATGTGAAGTTCCTAGCACAGAGCCTCATGCATAGCAAGTGTTGCAAAAATAAGTTTCTTTCCTCTCATTTTATTTTTGCTAACGAATGCACATGGTTTAAACATGGTTTGAATGGATGGCACTTAAGAGGGAGTGCTATTTCCGCCCATTGTAGGGAACTAGTAACTAAAGTTCCTGCTAGCTAAGACATGCTTGGGCATGTTTCGGTCATCAGTGTTCTATACAGAGCTTGTGTCAGTCTGAAAGCAGATAGGTATAAGACCAGAATTTACGTGCTTACAAATGTTTCATAAGTTATGGGTAGCCTGTTAAACCCACAATACTTCATGTCTGCAATGAGAAAATAATTTCAGGTAATATTGACATTGTAGTAATAAATAACCGTAATAGGAAAACAGAATTGCCTAGCAATTTTTCTTTTCCTAGTAGATATCTTTCAGCGTTCTGAAGGGTATACTCCCTAGAATAAAAACTTTGAAGGCAGGGGCCAATCTGGATTAAAACTGTATGTTGAGTACCTAGAAAAGTACTTGGCTCAAAATAGTGCTCAAAAAATATTTGTTGAGGGCGCCTGGGTGGCTCAGTCAGTTAAGTGTCTGCCTTCGTCTCAGGTCATGATCCCGGGGTCCTGGGATCGAGTCCCACATGCCCGCTTTTCCCTCTGCTGCTCCCCCTGCTTGTGCTCGCTCACTCTCTCTGTCAAATAAATAAGTAAAATCTTAAAAAAATATATTTGTTGACTGACAAGTTTCCACATTCTTTCAAGGGCTTTAGAGATGGGTTGATGGCACTGGTTCTTTATTTTACCTCATTCCATGTCAAAATTTCTTTTCCTAGGCAATTACTTTTGAAAGTGTATCAGCAACAAATAAGATGATCTTTTGCTCATAAAAGAATGAAGTGAGAGATATTCCTGAGGTAACTAGGCTAAGTTGGAAGACAGAAGGGGAATTTTACAAGGATTTAAGGACAGTAAAGTCCAATTTCCAGTCTGAGCGGTGAAAACTTGAGATAGGTGGGAGCTTGGCCTGAGGTCAGTCCTCCTTTATGTGAATAAATGAGGTGTTAGAAAAGAGGTGTTTTGTCAGTTTTCTAGACTACCTCCTTGGTGTTGCTGCTGGTCCTGGGCAACTTGTATGTAAATCTTGCTAAGTGCAGCTTCTTATTCAGAGAGCTGGGCGGGCATAGTATTTTGCATTCCTGATAAGATCTCCAGTGATCCTAAAGGCTTTTGTTTCCAGGACCATACTGAATAGCAAGAATCAGAATCCCCAGGTGATCTGTATTTTTTAGTTTTACTTTGAGAAGACTAGTGTAGAGCAGTAGTCTTCAAACTTGTTTTGCTTGCTTTTCCTTTTTTTTTTTTTAATTAGGTATTGCCTTACATGGTTTTAAGATGCCATCTAAAAATTGTATTGGAAATTTAATAGTTGCAAAAGATAAAATTCCAACATAGGTTGGCATTTTTAAATAAAATTAGTTTATTACTTTTACAAATATATCCAGTGGATTCTAAATAGCATAGGAATGTGATATGCCTTTCATCATCCATTTTAAAAATATTTATGAATAAGATCTTAATTGATGGAGACTTTATACTGTTATTTTCCTTTCATACTTTTATCTTTGCAATAAAACTATCTACATTCAATTATTTTTTTGTTAATATTCTGAAGGGCTTTATTAAAATTCTGTCTCGAGTGAGACATCTTAATTAACAGTTGTACACAGCTGATGAAAATAACGTAAGTATTAAAAGTTGTGTTAAAATTTAATTAAAAGTAAATTTTTATTTAATAAAATAAATAAGGTTATCACTTTTTCCACTTATTTCATACATCTGTGAAGGCATGTTATGTATTTCCAGAATGAGAAAAGATTTAGCTTCAGTTCTGTTTTGTTTTCATTGTGATGTAATTTTGAGAAACCTTAGTTATATAAGTAAGTAGATGACACTGGATAGAGTTTAATTATAGCAGTGTATCAGGTTTTTGAATTCTTGAATCACTCATGAAGAAATTGCATAGTGATCTATTATAAAGAATTATTAGGTCCTTCCACACTTTTTTTTTAAAAGATTATTTATTTGAGAGAGAGAGCGTGTGTCAGCTGTGGTAGGGGGAAGGAGAGGGAGAGAGAGAATCCCAAGCCGACTCCTCACTGAGCACAGAGCTGGACATGGAAGCGTTTGTTTCAAGTGAAGCTAGCTTTGATATTGGGATGGGCTGAGTAAGTAATAACTAATGTTCCACTCGTTAAAACTTCTGCTTATCAGGGTGCCTGGGTGGCTCAGTGGGTTAAGTGGCTCAGTGGGTTAGGCAAATGCCTTCGGCCCAGGTCATGATCTTGGGGTCCAGGGATTGATCCCTGCATTGGAGCCCTGCATCCTTGGGCTCCCTGCTCAGCGGGGAGCCTGCCTCTCCCTCTCCCCCTGCCCCTCGCGCCCTGCTCCTGTGCACACTCTCTCCTGCACGCTCTCTCTCTCTCTCTCTTTCTCTCTATGAAATAAATCTTTGGGGAAGAAAAAAGACTACTGGAAATAACAAGGGAAAGAACTCTGTAAAAAAAAAACGTGCTTATCAAAAATCAGTTTTTTAAACTTGAATTGCAATCACTATGGGTAAAGACTCTTCTCTTTATAATCTATAGCAACTGGAGGGAAAAAGGAGAAGGATTTTGCTCAGACAACAAATGCTTGTTTGAGCTTTATCCAAGAAGCGCTGCTGAAGCACCAGTGGCAGCAAGCCGCCGAATTCATGCACAGTTACTTCCAGATCTTGGAAGATTCGGATAGCCACAAGAGGCAGGCGGCCCCCGAGGTAAGTGTCGGGCGAGTCAGCTGGAGGCCGTCACAGATAGAGGAGTGTTTCTGCCTGTGGAGCTCCACCCTGAAGAGCTTTTGCAGAATCTCAAATTGATTTTCTAAAAGCTACTAAAAGTAGTTTTGGGTGGAGAGTTTGTATTGGGATGTTGTTTCTCGGACTTCTTTTTACTTGTAA